TCCAGAAATATTGTTTTGCCTCTCAAAGAATATGTGCACTCAACACATGTTAAAACCGAAGATTTCGTCGGCTTGTAGTGCCGAAGTACCTCAGGAAATATTGTGTTGCCTCCCAAAGAATATGTGCACTCAACACATGTTAAAACCGAAGATTTCATCGGCTCGTAGTGCCGAAGTACCTCCGGAAATATTGTGTTGCCTCCCAGAGAATATGTGCAGTCAATACATGTTAAAACCGAAGATTTCGTTGGCTGGTAGTGCCGAAGTACCTCCGGAAATATTGTGTTGCCTTCAGAAGAATATGTGCACTCAATACATGTCAAAACCGAAGATTTCGTCGGCTGGTAGTGCCGAAGTACCTCCGGAAATATTGTGTTGCCTCCCAAAGAATATGTGCACTCAACACATGTTAAAACCGAAGATTTCGTCGCTTGTAGTGCCGAAGTACCTCCGGAAATATTGTGTTGCCTCCCAAAGAATATGTGCAGTCAATAGATGTTAAAGCCGAAGATTTCGTCGGCTGGTAGTGCCGAAGTACCTCCGGAAATATTGTGTTGCCTCCCAGAGACTATGTGCACTCAACACATGTCAAAACCGAAGATTTTGTCGGCTGGTAGTGCCGAAGTACCTCCGGAAATATTGTGTTGCCTCCCAGAGACTATGTGCACTCAACACATGTCAAAACCGAAGAGTTTTGTCGGCTGGTAGTGCCGAAGTACCTCCGGAAATATTGTGTTGCCTCCCAGAGACTATGTGCACTCAACACATGTCAAAACCGAAGATTTTGTCGGCTTGTAGTGCCGAAGTACCTCTGGAAATATTGTGTTGCCTCCCAAGACTATGTGCACTCAACACATGTTAAAACTGAAGAGTTCGTCGCCTTGTAGTGCCGAAGTATGTCCGGAAATATTGTGTTGCCTCCCAAGAATATGTGCACTCAACACATGTTAAAACCGAAGATTTCGTCGGCTTGTAGTGCCGAAGTACCTCCGGAAATATTGTGTTGCCTCTCCGAGACTATGTGCACTCAACACATGTCAAAACCGAAGATTTCGTCGGCTTGTAGTGCCGAAGTACCTTCGGAAATATTGTGTTGCCTCCCGGAGACTATGTGCACTCAACACATGTCAAAACCGA